ATCCTGCACTGTGGGAGGGGTGGCAGGGCTGGCCCCACATCCGCTCTATTTGGCTTCCCAAGCCTGTTCCGAAGCGTTCGGCTCTGTCCCTGTCCCTGTCCCTGTCCCTGTCCCTGTCCCTGTCCCTGTCCCTGTCCCTGTCCCTGTCCCTGTCCCTGTCCCTGTCCCTGTCCCTGTCCCTGTCCCTGTCCCTGGCTGCCCTCCCAGCTCAGCAGAACCCCGGGGCTGAGGGTCGGGGCTCCAGGGAGCTCCAGGGAAAGCCCAGGGGAGAGGGAGAAGTGCCGGTTTCCTGCCCGAGCACCCGAGCGGCCGGATCTGTTCACAGCCCCCGTTCCTGAGCTGAGCCGTGGGAACGCGGGGGGTTTCGGTGGAGAAAACAGCCGGGGCTCGGTCACCCTGCGCTGTCCCAGCCCACCCCGGTGTCACCAGCAGACACGGAGCCCTCACCTGGCAGCACAGCCAGTGTGGGAGGCGAGGCTGAGCTGCCACCTGCCCTGGGGTCCCTCCTGCTCAGCCACGCACCCCCAGGCGATGCTCCCTCAGCACCAGCTCTGGCAGAAGCTCTCCCATGGCTCTGCCCAGCTCCTGCAGCAAATCCCGGCCTGGGGCATCCCATCCTGCCAGCTCCCCAAAAAGGGCTGAGTGCCAGGCTGGGTACCTGCTCCTGGCTCTGTGGGACGAGGCTCAGGCATTTCCTGCAAGACAAAGCAGAGCCATGCCAGCGATTGTTTGCTTTTAACTCTTTCCTGCCCCTCCGAGGAGCGGTGACAGCGATCAGTGCTCGTGTGGCACCTCCCTGTGCCCTGGCTGGGCGCTGGGCACAGCCCTGGTGTGGCGAGTGAAGCTGAGCCCGGGCTCAGAGCTGATGCTGCTGATGCTGCAGGTCAGGCAGGGCACGGTGAAACGCTGCCTGGGGAGAGCCGGGAGCAGGGATGGGATGGGATGAAGCTGGCACAGCCCAGGATGGGAACAGGGATGAGGCTGGCACAGCCCAGGCTGGGAGCAGGGATAGGATGGGGCTGGCAGAGCCCCGGCATGGGAGCAGGGATGGGATGAGGCTGGCACATCCCAGGCTGGGAGCAGAGCTGGGATGAGGCTGGCACAGGCCAGGATGGGAGCAGGGATGGGATGAGGCTGGCACATCCCAGGATGGGAGCAGGGCTGAGCTGAGCCCGGCACATCCCAGGATGGGAGCAGGGCTGGGATGAGGCTGGCACAGCCCAGGATGGGAGCAGGGCTGAGCTGAGCCTGGCAGAGCCCAGGATGGGAGCAGGGCTGAGCTGAGCCCGGCACAGCCCAGGATGGGAGCAGAGCTGGGATGAAGCTGGCACAGCCCAGGATGGGAGCAGAGCTGGGATGAGCCTGGCAGAGCCCAGGATGGGAGCAGGGCTGAGCTGAGCCTGGCACAGCCCAGGATGGGAGCAGGGCTGAGCTGAGCCTGGCACAGCCCAGGATGGGAGCAGAGCTGGAGCTGAGCCTGGCACAGCCCAGGATGGGAGCAGGGCTGAGCTGAGCCTGGCACAGCCCAGGATGGGAGCAGAGCTGGGATGAAGCTGGCACAGCCCAGGATGGGAGCAGAGCTGGGATGAAGCTGGCACAGCCCAGGATGGGAGCAGAGCTGGGATGAGGCTGGCAGAGCCGCAGCGATGCGTCAGTGCAGCCGTGGGCACTCCGTGGAGGAGGTGTCTGCGTGGAGAGCGGTGGGGAGGGGGACGTGTGGAGCCCCCAGCAGTCACCTGCAGCCAGGCCAAAGCCAGATTTGCCGGTGGGGGACTCCATCCCAGCCTTGTCCGTGCAAGCCCTGCCACCAAAATCGCGATGGATGAGGGGGAGAACACCTGTTCCCAAGTGTATCCCCTGCAGGAGCCTCCAGCTAGGAACACCCTCCCTTTTGATGTGGAAATACAGAAATCCTGGGAATTCCCAGCCCTGGGAAGGACCCGTGCCCAGGTCAGCTTTGTCCTGGCAATGCCAGGGACACTTCTGGGTGCTCAGAGCTGTGATCTGTGTCCCTGCTTTGCACTGGGGGCTCTGCTGGGATGGGGATAATGGGGCTGCAGGTGAGGAATGAGCTGCCACCAACATCCCAAAGAGCCACCAGGGCAGGATGTGACAGGGCAGAGGCACGAGGCGGCTCCTGGGGGCTGCCAGGGCTCTCCTTGGCCACCTTCCCATCGAGGAAAAAGGGCAGGAAAGCAAAATGTGCTGCCTTGGAGTGCTGGGAGGGAGCTGCAACAGCGGCTGTAAAACCAGCAAAATAAAACCTTCTGCTGTTCATTGCTGACTAATAAACATCAGCACCGCTGCTGCTGCTGCCAGTAACGAAGTTTTCCTTCCCAGCCACTTGATTTTAGTGGGAACTTGACCTCGGATTGGATCTGCTCTGCAAAGCCTCGCAGGGCTGCTGGTGGCAGGATGAGAAATCTCTGCCGGTAATTGCAGAGCCAAGAGACTGAGCCTGCAAGTGCTTCACACACAGGCTGGCCCTGGGCAGCGGGGATTAGTGACAGCTCCTGCCTGCAGAGGCAGGAAGGGCGTTTATCCAAATCCGAGGTGATGGGAAGCACGGATCGGGGTGTGCCACAATCTCCCCGGGACGCCGGGAGCAGGGATCTGGGTCACTCCTGCACGAGCCTCCCAGCCCCAGCGTGGCCTCCCCAAAGCCTGTGGGAAGCAATTCCCCTTTTCCTCCTCACCACTGGTTCCCCCAGTGAGGCTGAGGGGTGGCCCCAGAGCTCCCCGATCCCACGGGATCTCTCCATGGAGACATCCCTGCTGTCCTTGTGTGTGGAGCCAGGGCTGTGCCTGGCCATCCCCCGGTGTCCCCCTGGGACCCAGCCTGGCTCCGGGCACTGTGGCCAGTGCCCCGCTGTGCTCCAGAGCCAAATGCTGCTCGGGTGGGCAGGAGAGGCTGGGGTTGGAATTGGAGCCTTCCCGGAGCGTCTCTGCAGCCGCTCGTGTCGGCTCCAGCGCTACCCTGGACTGAAATGATCTCCTGAACTGCACTGCCGTGTCTCTGGGGGGCTTCCCCACCCTGCCAGATGTGAAGAGCCCTGTCTGCGTGGGAGGCTCCACGGAGAGGTCCCTTCCCTCCCAGAACTGGAGAGCCCCGATCCAGCCTTAGAGCCCTCGCTGTGAATGAGCCGATTCCAGACTGCTCAGGGAGAGTCTCCATCCCCTCCCTGCCCCTGCTCCAAGGGGGAATCACCAGCGAGGCACGAGCAAAGGACACAGCAATTCCCAAAGCGTCCTTCCTGCTGCCGGGTCTGGAATGGGACCTGCTGCTTTCCAGCCCCAGGGCGCCTCTGACACCCGGCCTGGCACCTGCCTGTCCTGAGGGATTCCAGCTCAACTCCCTGCCTGCTCCAGGACCTGGACTGTGGAAAGGAAAGGAGAGCCAGACTGGGAGGATCCTCATCCAGCCGTGTCCTGACCAGGAGACACTAAGGGATGCAAAGCCTGGCCATTCCATCCATCCATCATCCATCCATCATCAATCATCCATCCATCATCCATCCATCCATCATCTATCATCCATCCATCCATCATCCATCCATCCATCATCTGTCCATCATCCATCCATCCATCATCCATCCATCATCCATCCATCCATCATCCATCCATCCATCATCCATCCATCCATCATCTATCATCCATCCATCCATCCATCCATCATCTATCATCCATCCATCATCCATCCATCCATCCATCATCCATCCATCATCCATTATCCATCCATCATCCATCCATCATCCATTATCCATCCATCCACCCCACGCTGTGGCTGGCAGGAGGGACGGGATGGCTGATTGTAAATATGTGTAAATTGTATATAGGGTGTACCCAGAGGGGTTTTCCATTCACTGACACAGCCCCACAGGGGGCCCTTGGCTCCCCCTCACCCTCCCCGTGTGCCAGGGGTGTTGGTGGCACCGTGCCCGAGCTGGGAGGGACCACGGAGGCTGCTACCGCTCTGCCAGGTGACTTCTGCAGGGCAAGGGAGGTGAAGTGAGGTCTGTCCACTCCCTGCAGAGATGCAGGGCCCCCAGCAGCACCGTGCATCCCCCATGCCCGTAGCTCTGCTCTGGCAGTGGATTCCTCGTGACCAGGACGTGCCCAGGGCGTGTCCCTGCTCCCAGCCCTGTTTTCCTCCCCACAAATCGTTCCTGGGTGTGGGACTGAACCTTTCCACAGCAGCAAAGGTTCCCGACCGCCACGGCCTGTGCCACGGGGAGGGGGCTGTGGATGGGGAGGGAGGGAAATAAAAGAGTTTTCCTCCAGTTTCTGGTTGTTTGTGTGTGTTGGAGCTGGGGTGGGGAGCAGAGCCAGGCTTGGACACCTCCCTGGGAGAGCATCCCAGAATTGTTCAGGTTGGAAACCCCCTGAAGATCACCGAGTCCAACCTTGGCACTGCCAAGGCCACCACTGACCGTGTCCCCAAGTGCCACATCCGCACAGCTTTAAATCCCTCCCTGGGCACTTTAAACCCCTCCCTGGGCACTTCCAGCCCTTTCCATGAAGAAATTCCCCCTGATGTCCACCCTGACCTTCCCCTGGCACTACCTGAGGCGCTTTCCTCTCGTTCCATCCCTGGGAGCAGAGTTTATTATCGTGTCTGGAGTGACAGCGGCACCCGCAGGCCGCAGAGCCCGACCTGTTACCCGGGAAACGGGGAAGAAAAAGACAACGCAATTAAATAAATAAACAAATGAAGTAAAATAAATAAAGCGGTGTTTTCTCCCTCTGGCCGCGTCGCTGTGGCAACGCAGCTCTGCCCGGCACAAAGATGGCGGCGCTGCCATGGCAACAGCACTGTGGCGCAGCTGTGCCTGACACAAACATGGTGACGCTGCCATGGCAACGGCACTGTGGCGCGGCTGTGCCCGACACAAAGATGGCGGCGCTGCCGTGACAACGACACCCAGATGTGACTGTGCCCGGCACAAAGATGGAGGCGCTGCCGTGACAACGACACCCAGATGTGACTGCCCGGCACAAAGATGGCGGCGCTGCCATGGCAACAGCACCTGGCTGTGACTGTGCCCGGCACAAAGATGGCGGCGCTGCCATGGCAACGGCACCTGGCTGTGGCTGTGCCCGGCACAAAGATGGCGGCGCTGCCATGGCAACAGCACCTGAAAGTGGCTGTGCCCGGCACAAAGATGGCGGCGGCGCCCCGCGGGTGACG